ACAGATATTTTTATCCAGGCTTAATTTTCATGTTAGAATGTAATCTGCTATGATGGTATCTTAAATTTAAAAATGTAAATTTAATATCCTGTTCTTGTTCAATCACTTTTTGTCAAAACCTGTGGCATGAGCAAAAAATATAATATATATATTTCTTTTGTTTCTTTCAGGAAAAGAGGAATAGAAGTTGTTCAGGTAAGAGGATCTCACCTTAATTCAATTTGTTTCAGATGTTTATCTAATGTGTGAAATCACAAGCATTCTTCTGGAGTCCAGAAAATTCTTTAGTAAAGATTTCCTGTGCTGTGTTTCAGTCAACTCAGAAAGTTGAAATTTCCAACCTCTTTGGAAATGTGCATGACAACTTGGTTTGAAGTTGCAAAAGTTAATGATGGATATTCAGTTCTACACAAATAAAATCCATCAATGTCTTGAAGTTCCTACATTACACAATGATTGAACCTGTTTCGCAATCTGTTCCAGAGACAGGTGCGTAACGATAAACGATCCTCTCAGTTGATCATCATAGACCAGCAAAACAAATGCTGGATATACGTAGCATAATTTATCCAGTGCAGTTTGGTTGCCAGGGGATTTTGTTGTTGACCAAACACCTGCAAAGCTAATGGTAGCTGTTTTGTTTCTTGTTTCTTTGAACATAAAACTTTATGCAACTTCTCTGATTGGTGGATCTTGCTACAGGATTATGGGTAGTGTAGTACAGCAGTTGTGTAGTGCAACAGTTGGGTTCTGGATTTAAAAATCCCATGCATTTTCTCCATGGGAGAATTGATTTTTAACAATAACTCAAACCTAAAAAGACAGACCAACTGGGAGCTTCAAGGTCGTTAATTGAAGCAAATCGCACCAAAATAACTCTTTAGCATCCTCACACTCACACTAGTGCGAGTGGCGCGGCATAAAATACTATAGAACTCATAATCAGTGATGCTGTCTACACCATATACGTATATATCTAGCTCGGCTAATGTCCGTCCTGTGCACTGAACGCTCTCTCCTCCACATCATGAGTAGACACGCCCCTTACTGCTGATTGGTTACAAGTTTTTGCTATTCGGCCCGAATCAGTTTTCTAAAGCATTTTTGAAAAGTCGCTTACCCCACCTTTAACCTTTGTCTTTTTGTCCGATTTTTAGGGCTGGGTATCGAGTTCGATGTTTTTTAGGCACCAACTGAATTGCCTCGATACCACAGAGTATCAAAACATGACTTGTCATTCGGTACCAAATTTCGATACCTAAGGGGTTAATCTCATTAACGTCAGTGAGCCAATACGCATGCAGCATGCTTGATGTTCCTAAATCAAGTGCTGGTGATTGGCTCATGCATCATGGAAAACGCGTGTAACGTGACCATTCATGCACACTTGTAGCATCATGCCACATAAGACAATTTATAGGATTTATACTACGCTTTTACTCAATACTCTCTTTAAACCACCACTGAGTGTTTGTAATAACTTACGATT